TAGATGCAAGGTCACGCAATGGCTAATCAAAAAACACAATCTGTAATCGAAAGGGACTAAATTTCGAAGGACAAGAGCACAATTAGATGCATACTGCAAGTATATTGATTGTCTACTTGTAATAATTTTCTCCACATTGATATGCCATGTCCAATGTCCATGGAGACCAAATTCATGTCTGTAACTCTCCCCGGTTTAATATCAGTTGGCTCCAGCTGAAAAAAAAAACAAGCGCGCGGGTTTCTTAGCTGCAGAAAAAACAAGTGTTTCTGATAAAATCAAATGCATCAATAACAGAATATTTTAGAGAGAAAGATACTGCATAAATATGAAACAGAAGAACAGACTGCAATCCATAGCTGCAGAAGATTATTGTAAAAATCCAGCTAACGAAAACAAAGGGTAAACACTGTTTAAGGACCAATATAAAATCCTAGCTTTCACATGTCTAAGCCAAAAAAATTCATCAGGTTTTCTCCTGAACAGGACAGCAAGCAAGGTTTCTGGGAAAATTCAGAAGCAGCACAAATTCATTGTTGTGCAATACTTAAATGTTATGACATCGACCTAAAAACGAAATCATTTTTTTTTAAATAAACCTAAAAATGAAATCATACATTCAACAAGCACCTAATGCAGAACCTTTTCTTTCAAAAATCAATTTTTTTCCCTCCCTGTGCAGCAATCACTTATATTGAGTATTTTCCACATAGTACTCATTGTTCTATAGTCCCCAGCCAGAATTCCTGCTTTGATTTTGATTGGTTCCTATCTTTTATTTAAGTAAATATGTAACCGTAGTCCATAGTTATATTGTTTCATAATACTGAAGTTCATATTATATCTGGAAATCAAGCTGTTGCTTTAGATTCTTCCTCCTAAGTGTTAATTTCAGTAGGACACAACAAAAGTTAAGGTGTCATTGCACGTATAGAACAACAAGAAACCTGTGGTACATTTGGAAATTATTGAATCGGAAACTTAAATACATACCTAAACCAGATAGAGTCCA